AGATGGGGCTTGCGGCTGCCTTGGCTTCCGCAAGCACAGGGGAGCCAAGAGATTCAAGCTGGCATGCAGTATATTGGTTGTTGTTTCCAATAAAAGATGAATCCGAGATCTCCAGGCCGAGCGGTGAGCCGCTCACTCAAGGAAGTCTGTAGTTCGCACCACAGGGTTCCAATTCTTTAAGGAAGGGATGCCGATCTTCCAGATTGTCCTTGGATATCATTGCAAGCAGGCCACACCCCTAGGGAAACTCCCCTTGGGCAGACTGGCCACTCAGAACTCAGTCATCTGATCCCATCATGGGAACAACCACACAGAACTGGGGTCCAGCCAAGTTGACACACAGCTCCAACTATCACAGCTAGAAAAGCCATACAAGTAATTCACTGCACCACACTCTCCCAAGCCATGGTATTTTCAATTGACTCACATGCATGTGAAAGCTAGACAATGAATAAGGGAGACCAAAGAAAAATTGATGCATTTGAATTGTGGTGTTGCCAAAGAATACTGAATGTACCATGGACTGCTAGGAAAACAAACAAATCTGTCTTGGAAGAAGTACAGCTGGAATGGTCCTTAAAAGTGAGAATGGCCAGTCTTTGTCTCTCATATTTTGCTCATGTTGTCAGAAGGGACAAGTCCCTGGAGAAGGACATTATGCTTGGTATAATGGGTCAGTGAAAAAGGGGAAAATCTTCAGTGAAATGGAATGACACAGTGGCTGCAACGATGGGCTCAAGTATAGCAAATATTGTGAGAATGATGTAGGATGGGGCAGTGTTTCATTCCATTTATCTAGGGTTGCTATAAGTTGAAACTAACTCAACAGCACCCAACAACAACATTCCCCTTGCTCAACTCCAACAGAGAAGAAGAAGAGGCCTAAGATATGCAGACAAAAACATAATAGAGGTTCTACTTTGGAGTAAACAAAACCCATGTTAAAGAAGTAGTAAGAATTTCCATTGAAAGTTTTATTATTCCTGGAAGCATTTTGAATGAAGCAAAGAATTTTAAAAATGTATAAAAATATGTATTTTTTAAAAATCATAAGTGAACAACAGATTTACAGAACTGCTTTTCTGATCATCCAGAGAAGACAACATTGATTTAGTAGTAAACTGCATGTGGGCGAGACTAGCCTCTGGGCACGGAGACCTAAACAGCCCCACACTCACTGCCTGTGCTCTGAAAAGCAGAAGAAATGCTCAGCATGCAGGAGAAAGGCTGTAGGAGGGGTGGCAAGACAGCCTTGCCAGCAAGACAGGGCCAGCAGCAGAGCCAGAAGTGGGCCAGGCAGGGGCTAGGCATCAGGGAACAGGACCAACTAAGAACATAGCATGGACTGGGGAGGGGGTGGCATGTCAGCTATACTGGCCTTTGAAAAGAGCCACCATGGCATGAGTGTCCTGGCCCACCTGCAGTAAAGTGCCTGTGTGTGTGTACATGCATATATATGTAAATTTTAGTCAACTCATCTTTTACTCACTAAACTAAAAAATGGGTGGGAGTCCTCTGTGTGTCTACAATCATATCAGGGAGACCAAAGAGGAAAGTTGAGCCCATCAAAGCGTTTTCACAAATTGTGCTTGATTCAGCTCCCACTGGAGTCTCTGGGTGGTACAAAGTGGTGCTCAGTTGCTAACCAGAAGGTTGGAGGTTCGAGTTCACTCAGAGGCATCTCAGAAGAAAGACCTGGCAAACTACTTTTGAAAAATCAGCCACTGAAAACTCTATGGAGCACAGTTCTACTGAAACACATGAGCGTAACATGAGTGGGAGTCAACTGGATGGCAACTAGTGGTTATCTAAGCTCCCACTTGGACGGGAGGCTGGCTTCCAGAGCTCCTAGAAGAATAAGAGGGGGTGGGCCAGGCCCTACCCCAAGGAGCTTATACTCTAACACAGGGGAGAGAGAGCACTCTGGTAGCTGTACCACATGGCCCATGACTGGCTGTGGGACAGAGATAAGCTTGTTCTCTTGTATGTAGGAGATCAGGAAAGGGTTATTGAAATAACTGTAATGTAAGCTGGGCCTTGAGCAACAGGCAGGATTATGATAGGCAGAGACGGAAAGTGTGCAGGCATTCCAAGCAGAATGTAGAACGTGAAAACCCTACGAGGAAGTGTACAGTGGGAGCTGGAGTGGCCTTGCTGGAAGTGTCTGGAACGTACAGGAAGTTGTGGAGATGAGTCTAGAAAGGGAGCTTGAGGCCAGGCCAGGGTGGGTCCTGAAGCAAGAAGTTTGCACTTAACTTGGTTAGATAATAGGGAGTCCTTCACTTACTCATTCATTCTTTTATTCATTCACCAAAAATACGTTGAGTACAAACCATCTGCCAGATGCTGTCTAGGTGAGCCACAGGTGATCAGGGCAGGGTTCCGCCCTCCTGAACCTTCTGTGGAGGGTTCTGGGGTAGAGGTGCCCAGTGCTGTACTTCAGGGAGCTCCTGTAGGCTACAGGGGAAGGTGGCGGCTGCTACTTGGTCCAGGGGGCAGGTCAGGTCCTGAACTAGGGCATGCTAGTAGGAGGGGTCATTTCACAGGAGAGGGCAATTGACAGGGTCAGTCATGAATGAGAACCCCACTAGTCAGGCCAAACCCTCCAGCAGTGGACATGGGAAGAAACATTCCCATTAATGTCTGCAATGAAGGAACAGGAAAATTGGGCTTGGAGAGGAAAGAGGAAGCAGGGAGGCAGGGGAGGAGTCCCCTTAGCCTTCCTGACCCCAGCTTGCAGCAGTCTCCAGTCACTGGCCATCGTGGTCAGGGGATTCACGCCCTGTGCTCCTCTGGTCTTCAAGCCTGTAGCTGTCCTCCTCGTCCTGCACTCTAGACAGCTCCGTTACCTGCTCTGATGGCTCCCGGTAGATCTTGGGATTCCTGTGGGGGCAGAGAGGGCAGAGAAGAAGGGTTTGCCACCCTTGGGCCTCTCCCCACCTTGTGCTAGCTGGGCCTAGTTGGGTAAAACAGCCATCAGACTGCCCCCACCTGCCTCATTAGCTGCAAAGAGACAAGGGTGCTGAGAGCTGTGTTCAGATGGGCAGAAATCTCCACCCTGAGACACAAAAAACATGAGCCTTAGAGTCAAGTCCCAGGATTGCAGTGCAAGCTTCATACTCCAGAAGTCACTGTTCTTTTCTTTATAAAATGAGGGTGATAAAAATCATGCCTACCCCCAGGGTGCTGTGAGTGGAAGAGGCTATGAAGACAAACTACCTGCCCAGACACTTACGGCCTTGTGCCCTCCTTGTCCTCGGCTTGGCCTTTGCTCCGGCAGCAGCAGCAGTAGATGATGATACCAATGATGATGAGGGCGGCAGTAATGCCTGCCCCAATGCCCGCGTACAGGGCGATGTTCATGGAGGCTGCAAGGGGACAGAGAAGCTACACCACCCGAGCCCCCAACCCTCATCCCCTGATCCCATCCCAGAGCCAGATGAGATCAATACTGGGATGAGAAACCACAGCAGCTGATGTGTGTCCCTGGGAGGCCCTTCCCTCCCAGCTCTGGACCAGCCTCAAGCCTCCTCCCAGCCCATGGAGCAGCAGCTGTGGGCTCCTGGCAGCACTCAGTAAGAGACATGTTCTTATGGGCTGTGAGCTGCTCTTCAGGATGGAGGTGCAGACAAGGACTCCTGCTTTAGCTTCTACCTGAGCTAGCCATGGTTTCCCATCCCCTCAAGGATGGGTTCCAGACTCCACAGCAGCTGGCTCTGGACTCTTCCCCAAGGCTCACTGAGTGGTCATAAAAGTAGGCAGGACTGAAGCAGATTGCAGCAGTCAGTCCTAGGCTCTAATTTCAAAGAACAAATGGAACTGGGCTGGCTTCAAGGTGCAGGGAGGCTGGGGCAGGAAGCATCTTGCCTAGATCACTGCAGCTACCCTACAAATAGGTAGCCTTAAAGAGGCTTCCCAATTCATCTCCATGGGGGTTGCAGCTGACTTTTCTGGTCTTTGATACTTCTCCTCTCCCCTTTACTCACTCCTCCCTTCCTCCCTCCTTCATCAAGCCGCTCTTACGAGGTCGGACAGCCACAGTGATGTTGCAGGACTTTGTCCCCACTTCATTATTAGAGGTGCAGATGTAGTAACCCGACATGTCTGTGGAGATGTTCTTCAGAAGGAAGGTCTGTCCCGTGACTGGGAAAGAAGAACAGACAGGAGATGGGGACTGCGGACGAGCCCAGACTGGCATCCAAGGCAGTGTAAGGTAGTGGTTTTGCCTGAGTCCCAGAGGCCTGCATTTGAAAACCAGGTCCCCCATTCACCAGCTGTATGAACTTGGACATGTTAATTAGCCTTCCTGAGCTGCAGTTAACTCATTTGTAAAGAGGGCAATAGTACCTACCTTTGGATTATTGAAGGTACTAAATGAGTACTATATGTAAAGCTCTTATTAGAGTACTTGGAACTTAAGATCTTAAGCATGGATGACTCTTTTCTTATTAAAGCCTGATGGGTAGGGTCCTTTATGCAAAAATTTAAAAAAAAAATCTATAGCTATTAACATCAGTAGCACCTGTTCACAATCCTCTTTTTCCACATTTACACACACACACACACACACTCTCCCTTCAGGGGCACCAGAGTAGGCTACAAATAGCTGGAAATTAGGAGACCTGACTTCCTAGGCAGATGCACACACTACCACTGACCCTCTGCGAGCCTCCGTGTCATCTGGAGAAAATGTCCATCTCTGGGGCTTTAGAGATAATGAATCCAGGCAGGTCACACAATGTTGACATGTTTAGAATTTAGTCACATGCCCTGAGTTTAGGAACTCTGGTGGCATAGTGCCTAAGGCATTTGACTGTTAATCACAAGGCTGGTGATTCAAACCCACCAGCCACTCCTCAGAACAAAGACTGGGTGATCTAATTCCGTAGAGATACTGCCTTGGAAACCCAAGGAGGGGTCGCTATGAATTGGGACCGACTCGATGGCAGCGAGTTTAGTTTGGTTTTGCCCTGAGTTCAAAATCTGGCTCTGACACTAATTTTTATGACTTTGGGCAAATAATTGAGGTTCACTGAACCTCAGTTTCTTTATCTATAAATGTAAATAATAATAGTAGCTGCCTGACGGAGTAATTATGAACATAAAACAAGACTATAATAAGTCCACAACAGAATGTCCAATGTGGGAGAGTTCCGGCAAGATGGCGGACTAGGCAGAAGGATTGCACAGACCCTCTTCAACAAAGAAAAGGGAAACCAATTAACAGACACAGAAGATAATC